GCACACTAATTCGATCTGACGTGATGGAGCCCTTCCCCTCCCAAGTCCTGACGCGACACAACACAAGCCGTCACGTCAGATTGCAACACATTAATGTAAATCTAACCGTGTTAAATGTATGATGACGCGTTACTACACGATACGTCAGATAAATGTAAATCCGACCTTATTAGCATTGACTTACAATTATATGGACGTCGGGTCCGCGCTAAAAAGTATCCGAACTTATAGGGCGTTAAAATCGTATACAGAGCGTCATTCACGCTCTAGTCTTAGTTTGTTCGACTGACAGCGAAGCAAGCAAAATTAGACAGTACTGCGATAACATTACAATTTAAATTCAACGTTTTAGCTTTTTCATATTCCTTGACATGTCACTACGTTTAAATAGGTTGATTTGGGACATTTTTTTCGTGGTTTTTGTATTAGACCCGTCGTCCAATTATTTGTAAGTCAATGTTTATTAGCATTTTGTTCAGGAATAGCAATCAGCCTAGCTACTAACGAATTTAAACAGCTTTTCAGGACACTTAAACAAATGGAAACCGAAGCAGAATGTCACACCAACGTATTTCGTTTTCTATCTTACATACTGGTAGGCCTGCTCTCGAGCTACCTTATCGCCTGTCTGCAACAGGGTTTCATGTGCTTTACGTAAGTTCCTCGATTCATAATTCAGTAAAATATGTAATACTATGCTCATCAGTTAACAAAGCCTTTGTACAGATTCGAATACTGTGAAGTCACGAGCCTCTCTGTGTCTCCTTTCTGGTCCAAAACTCCTTTAAATACTGAAAATGAAGAAATTGCAATTCGACGATTGTACCTATCATTGTATTGGGCAATAACAATGTCGTCATTTTCAAGTAAGAGCCGTCTTAAACAGATGTAGTTAAAATTTTATAAAAGAAGTATATGCGGAGACTGTCGTCAGCAGATATTCCTGTTCATAATTGCGCAGTATTAGGTATACGTACTTATTATAGTAACAGCACTTGTCACTTCGTTTTGGTAGGTAACACTTCTGAAACCTCTTGTGCGTATTGCAGTAAGTGTTTCTTTTTATAATACACACATCAAAAGTGTCTAGGGATCAAGTACGTTTAAGAGTATTGCTGCAATTAGGGTTAATTATATTAACTTTTTTGTATCGCTATTGATACTTTTTAGTGAGTTTTAACATTTGAATAAGGAATATTGTTTAAAATTCGATAATAAGAAGAAAATTGATTGTCAATGTGGTTTTGTATAAAAATGAGTTATAGCGTTTTGACAAAATCATTACAATATCTGCATCGGAACCGAAACAATTTACATTATTATGGAGAGACGACATCATTTAACCCGAGAAGTGATGATGCGAGCCGTCGGAATGTTGGAAGCTGGTTCCAGGCAACGTGCTGTGGCTTTCACTCTTAACACTACACAGAGCGTCATAAGTCGCCCCTGGACGCGCTATCGCATGACGCGCAGCGTGGCCGAGTGACATGGAGGACGATCTCGCATCACGACTCGCAGACAGGATCGGTATATCCAAAATACTGCTCGACGGAATCGTACCATGACCGCCATGATGTTGGTTACGAGGCTCCACAGCTCCTCAGGCTTGCTAATAAGCGGTCAAACAATCCGAAATCGTTTACGTGAAGTGGGTCTGCGATCCCGAAGGCCGCTCAGAGTTCCGCCTATTGCACCCTGCAATCGCAGGACCCGTTTACGATGGGCTCGCGAACACAGAAACTGGGAGGAAGAAGACTGGCGCTATATGTGCTTTTCGGATGAATCCCACTTCGGTATGAGACCGGATACAAGACGTACTCGAGTTTGGAGAACATCTGGACGTCATGAACGTTTGAGATATTGTCAGGAAGTTCATCCATATGGTGGGGGAACAATAATGATATGGGCCGGTATTTGGATCGGCGGAGGAACCGATCTCATTTGGATCAGGGGTAACCTCAATGCTCAAGTTTACGCAGAGAGGATTGTTTCAGATGTTATCATCCCTTTGCGAGGCCAGTTGGGTGATTCATTTCAACTAATGCATGACAACGCACGTCCACACACGGCTAGAGTCGTAACACGCATTCTTGCCGAAGCTCGTATCAACGTTCTGCCGTGGCCTGCTCAATCGCCAGACCTCAATCCAATTGAGCACGCATGGGATATGCTTCAAAGAAGAGCTGTGCCGAGTATGCATACCGTACATACTCTACAACAATATTTTGACTTGTTACAAAACACACGGGCGGCCATTCCTCAAAGTGATTTTGATGAACTCATCTTAAGCATGCCAAATCGCTGTAATTGTGTGATTCGTGTTAATGGTGGAAATACAGATTATTAATTTTCTTATCTTTACAATAAAAATGAGCAAAATCATCATTTTCGCCATTTTTTTGTCATTTAATTGACGCCGTTAATTTGAGTTTTTTCCCACAATTTGCAAAAACATCAATTTTAGTTTATTTTAATTAAATATAGGGGTAAGCGGTTAAATGAAACATAAGCATTAAAGTAAGAAGTCGTCCTGGAAGACTGGATTTGGTAAATATTGCTTAAATAAGTTTTATTTCAAAAATATTCACTTGCTCCCTAGACACTTTTGATGTGTGTATATCGCACACTGAGAATGACAGTGACACAATGCAAAATTTTGGATTTTGAGTTTTGAGCAAGTAGAGTCCTAAAAATTGTGATAAATGCAATTTCTTACTCAACGAAAATTTTTGAATGCGGTTTTCAGCTCAAATAAAAGAAATAAAAGGTATCTTTTCATGTACATAAATTAACATTACTTATTATGCAATATCGTCACAACCCAACAAGCACACAAGCTGCTTATATTACCTCTGTACAGCCTAAAAGATGTATATGAGCTGTTTATTTATATATCAAACAAAATGTACTTTTTACACAAAAACTGCACGTGCACAAGACCCGTAAAAATTTTAGTTAAAATATACGTATACATTTACAACAAACTGGCACTCGCACTTTTATTGTGCATGAATTAAACGGAAAACTTATTTTATCAAAATGTTGTAATTTTTTAGTTGCAATCGTGTCCTCCGTCACTTTCCAGTTAGCAATGTCAGGTCTTTGCGAGAAATAAAATGTGTTTAGTTTATTTCTCCAAAATATCGCTGTTGTATATCTAGTACAGCGCCGTAAACTCTAATTCAGAGATACCGTCGCGTCTAAATAGGATGCGAGCGCTACAAGCACTTATTTTAGATACTTAGGCGCACATTATCGCTCGCATGACTCCTTGTATTACTTAGGCGCCCCATAACCGCTTGCGTAGCACCTTTGTATTACATTTATCCTGCTCATTAACCGCGTATCTTCGTACTAACACACATTTGTGACCATTGTAGGACCCACAGCGTATAAGTTACTAGTAAATTGTTTCCCAACTCGGCGATCTCTGTCACGACCAAAAATATCGTATCGCGCGATCTCCTATCCCCGTTCCCCTTATACAGCATAACGTCATTACGTCATGTAGCAAGTTCTGGGCAAACAACGTACACGGGGGTTTTTGCTTTGTAAAGTATAACCCTAGTACATACGCCATCGAGTATATAACAGAAATAAGGACGAAATGTCATTTAATTTGTTTGAAAACTATTCTGCCAAATCATTACGGTGAACTACTACCGTGGCTGAACGGTTACCATGCCGGACTGCCACGCAGAGGCCCAGGGTTCGATTCCCGGGCCGTGAGAAATATTTGTATGGCCTTCATTTATTTCTCTGGTGAGTTTGGGTGTAATTTGTGGTTGTCTATGTGTGTGTCCATGGCGCCCGCGATACAGGCCTTTCCTTAATGTGGGGCTATGAGTGTGTTGCGTATATAAAAAAAGGGACAACTGCGCTTCTATTGGCCAGCCCGAATCCGAAACAATTGACGTCAAAATTACATATTTAATATTGAATTACCGATGAAATTGGCTTCCGTTTGTTTAGTAATTAGGTGTTTTGCTGTTTTTCACACACCACCGAATGGAACAGCCCCCATTGTTAGAGATATTATCTTTGATATTCTAATGGAATATAAATTCAATCAAAATTTAAAAATACAGTAAACAGCGACATCTCGAGCCGGGGCTGGTAGCTGTAAAGGTATCTAACTGGGTGACTTCATAGATTTCTCATAGATGGCTCATAGTTCCATCTTTGTATTATTAATTATCACCAACTAGTGGAGTAATTTCACAAAAAAATAATTGACTATCAATACAATAAAAATTTTAAGATGTTATCTTTATTACAATAAATACAGAGTGTTTTTGGAAAATACGGAGATACACAGTCTTATACACGAGATACCTGACCCCTTAACATGCCCAAACCGACCTTTTGGTTCTGAGAGCCATCTTAATCACTGAACAAAGAAAAATTATGAAAGATGCATACGCAATACAGTGGAGTGTTGCTTAAAGGTGATCAACATATTTTAAAACCAATACTAAATTTCGTCATTTAACTTCCAAGTAAATTGATCGAGCGGCTTATTGTATCGACTGCCAGTTACAATACCCGTGGTTCGATTCCACGAGCACTGTTTTGTTTTAACGTTATATTTTTAACATCGTTGTCTCACCTTTAAATGTTAACGTTCACAAATCACAATATTTGCTTGCTAGAAATTGCCTAAAGTGGGTGGGTAGATATTATTAATAAAGCGTAGTGTATGTATGGATAGATTAACAAATCACGAAATTGCTCTGCACTTTGCATACGATCGTGTCTTCTGCGATTACGCATTATTCCACGTTTCGTTCCTATTTGTCTATTCAGGTTTAATTACTTTCAAGGTTTTAGTGACTGTCAAAGTTTTCGTTTCTTGTTTTAATGTGCCGCACTTGACGGAATTATTAAAATTACCAATTATTGTTCTGTATTAACTAGACTTAGACATTCCTTACACCTATCCAGACGTTAAAAACAAAAACAAAAATACAATATTGTATAATCATAGCTAAATGACATTTTATTTTTAATGTGACTCGAAGCATGTTTGCCTCAATTTGCAAAGCAATTGTTATACCGCTAGGCCAGGACAGCCTTACTAAAGTTGGTTGAAATTTATTCTATATTTATAACTTTCTTAAAATGTCATTCACTAATAAGACGATCAGGAAGTCATACCAAAATAAATATTACGGCTCACAGGTTAAAATTAACTTTGTTTAACAATTTTCTCCACATTTTTGTGCTCAGAACCAAAAGGTCGACTAAGTCGGCTTGGGGGGTCAGGTATCTTGTGTATATGACTGGACAGGTCAGTTATTGAGCGCTGTACTATTTCAGTTTTCCAATTTGTGATTTCAGCACAAACGAGAGTTGATATTAAAAGTGATATAATGCCCATTTTCCTGATAACTCATCAGACCAGGGATGGATGGCCCTTATTTCGTCTGTATTTCTGGTTATATACTCAATAACATACGCATACATGGCTTGCGCTAGTTACTAGAAGCATAAAAACCAAGTTTTAGCTCAGAGCGCATTGTTAGTGTTAAGGCGATGTACATTTAGGAGGTAAGATGTGTGAGCCGCTCCTTGGGTTCCGCAACCCTCACCCTTTAAATTAATCTGAATAAAATAAGAACAGTCGAAGAAAATTTGACACAGTTCCGACGTCG